ACGATGCCGGCGGCAATGGCCAGGTACTTGTACGAGGACATGTAGGGACACTCGCCTTTGTCGTTTGGGTTGTTGGGATTGTTGTTGCTGTTCTTGCTGTTCTTGCTGTTGACGCTGCTCTTGCTGATGCTGTTCTTGCTGATGCTCTTGCTCTCCACTGGTTCGCCGATGAGCTTTTTAGCTGGAGTAGCTTGTTTAGCAGGAGGAGGAGCTGGAGCAGCTTTCACATCCCCCTCAACAGACTTGCCGCTGGGCACCACCTCAGTTGCCTCGTTGCCCTTCACCGAATTGTACTCGCCAAGGCTGCCGTTTTCAACAACCAGTCCTGGGGTGGAGTTGGTTTTCGGCAGCTTCTCCGCGGAACGCTGCTTCTCACCAGCGCCAGTCTTTGAGGGCGAGAACTTGCCGAATGACGGCTGGGCTTTGGCTGAACTGCTGCTGCTGCTGCTGCTGCTTGAGTTGAAGCTGCCGGTGGAGGTTTTGGAAGCTCCAGAGCTCGATGCGGCGCTTGAAGAAGAAGGCTCACTGCAGGTGACGTAGTCAGCATTAGCAGCCGGTGGTGGCTTTCCGAGGTTGTCAAAGACGGCGATCAGCTTGAAGTAGTTGATGTCGCCGGTGAGAGCTTTGGAAAACTGGTGACAGAAGTTTTGTTAAAAGTGCCATCATATTCCAAAAGAGATACCTTACCAGCTCGCTCACACTGTCACTGGTGGAGTCCGGTTTGGCGGGCACCACTTGCACCAGGAACTTCTGAGTGGCTGTTTTGAAGTTCGCCTCGTTCTCGATCGTCTTCAGGACAATGTTCACAGTGGTGGACTGGTGCGCCGGAATGATGCCCTTGCTTGGATCGACGATGTAGTGACGTGGCTCCAGGGTCATCAGACGGAAGGCCACCTTGTGCTGGCTCACATTCTCAATCATCAGCTTGGCAGTGAAGCGCTTGTTGTAGGGACCTGGCAAAAAAGGGCGCAAAAGTGGGGTGAAATCATTAAATAGAAACTGACCACAGTTTTACCTGGAAAGTGGACCTCCTTCTTTGGATCAAGAACGACCAGCGGTGAAGTCATCGTCAGTTGGAGAGTGTTTGAAGAGAAGAGAAGAAGCTAAAAACAGGTAAAATGCAACAAAAAACGAGTTGACTAGATCTTTGCAAAGCACTTCNTCCTTCTTTGGATCAAGAACGACCAGCGGTGAAGTCATCGTCAGTTGGAGAGTGTTTGAAGAGAAGAGAAGAAGCTAAAAACAGGTAAAATGCAACAAAAAACGAGTTGACTAGATCTTTGCAAAGCACTTCGAAGTGTTCTAAATGCCAATGATGCACTGTTTTTAACCAGAGACGTGTTGTCAAAATAGCGCTTTTAAATTCGAACTTTCAAAACCCATTTAGAACTTTTTGATCAGCTGATTTTTCCTTTCGTTAAAGTTTCATTATCACATTATCACTAGCTTCACTCATTTCAGCCTTTGTGAGTGCCAGTTTAATTTACTCGCGCCATTTTCATAATATGTTCTCAGGCCTCTCTTCATTGATCTGTCGCTGTCGACCAGAACAGTGGTAATTCCTGGCTCGCAGTCAATTTCTATCGTCTCCCACCAACTGTGTGTGCTCAGTTAATGTTCAGGAGCGGAGAGTAATTCTGCAGCTTCTCTCGTGCATCATCTCACGCACACAGCTTTATTGGCGTCTTCAAATGAAGATTTATGTTATCATGGTAGATATTTGCGGCATCGACACGTCTTCTGACTACTGACTTCGATCTTCCCTCTTCTCTTTCTATGCGCCTTCTTCCAAGTCAAGTCCACTTAGTGCTTGCGCTAATTGTATTCCGTCTTTGCTGCTGCTGCTACTGCGCGATTAACCGAAAAGATGGAGAGATAAAGGGGAAAAAAGGGACTAGATAGGAGGAAGAAGAGTGTGTGTGGCGACTAATGAAGACAAATCGAGTTAAGAGAGAGAAAGAGAGTTTATGGATGATGATGGAGCAGGGGAAGAGATAGGGAATTTGGAGAAACTGCAGGGTTTCTCAATGTTGAAAAAGTGCGAATTAGATGCGAGCACCAGCGCACTCTTGGTGGTCACTATTGCGACTCGGGGAGAACAACGGCGACAATTGGGTCAACACAGTCAACACAGTTTGAAGAGTTGCAGATTTTGTCATTGTTGTCGTCGTCTTCGTGCGTGTGAAGAGAAGATTAAAGTCCTTTCAAAGAAGTCCTTTGCTTTCGAGGAGATTTAGGTAAGACACTTTACTGTCTTCCGGTCAGTTGCTGTCTCTCTATTTATACCACTACCGTAAACTTTACTTTCCTATCACTTTTGCACTTGAATATCGTTTTTTCTGTTTATCAAAGGAATATCATTGATTTGAAAACAGTTTTGATTTAAAAACAGTCATTTACATTTGCCAGTTGCCATTTTTTCTGCAATCATTTACCCATCAATACTCTAGGCACCACTTTAAGATTGCTGCTGCAGCTGACAAGCTCTTCAATTTGTCACTTGTGAAATGTCCGCTGATTTCAGCAAGGTTCTTTTTTCCCCTTCTCTTTCA